CTTTCCTCTAGATGTTTAACCTATTATGACAAACTGTGAAAATAAAGGATTTTATACCTTTGCTAATGTTTGTGGTTTTAAACAGCTATTTTAGTTTTCTTAAATCAGTTATCTTCCCTATTGTTTCTTTTAAACTTGTAAATACATTTAGAAAACAGCTTTGTAAATACAGTCTATTAAAAGTTCAGTTTGGTCACTAAGGCCTCAAGATTGGCTCAGCTATTTTAGTGTGAAACCTTTCAACAGCATAAAGGATACTGTCAGTTCACTGTTCAGCAGAATATACTGTAGGCCTAAATTGATAGTTTTTAATGCAGTCTTCCCAAGCATAAATCCATGTTTTATGCTGAAGCCTTTGGTTTACTTTCAGACAAAACAATGAGGCCTCTTAATATGTTTATGAGAAGAACAGCAGAAATAAAATCAAGGGCTGGGAAAAGATCGAATGAGCTTTACCTTTAAATATATATATATCTTATTTGAATTTTTGTATTAGTTTACTGTGATTCTTTTATTGTCATTTTTCTAAAGAGGTTTCACATGAAACCATTGAAAGGGACTCAAATATGCAACACCTAATCTATTTTCCAAGGGAATTTTTCCCTTGAATGGTGCTTTTTGACTGGTCAGGGTTATTTATTAAATTTTATATTTGAAAGTATTTCGGGAATTATGTAAATTCTTTATATGAATCTGTTTATTTCATGAATTGTAAATTTCATAATACTCAGCGATTGAATCAGAAGTTTAGTAAAGTCATTCAAAATGTTCAAAGTTTATATAATCTGTGTGCATTTTACATGTATTTTAACAAGTGCCAGGATAGTTGTATTTAATATTGTAGATATAAAACTACTTGCACATCCCTTTGACAGCATTAACTTATGAGAGTTTACATTTTTTAAAAGAAATGCTAAACAAACAAGAAAGCCTGAGAGCCGTGTCCTGTGTTTCTTCAGGGGGTGTGAAGCTGAGTGTCAGGAACAGAGCAGGTTCACTTCTAGTTCATGAAACTCCTGCTCTGGTGGCTACAAGAAACTGCTGTCTTCTCCCACTCGTATATACACTATGAAGTCAGCCGCTGGGCTTGTATTGCAAGCCTCTGGTTATGTATCTGGTTAGAGGTAGAGCTCTTGCACGATTTAACAGTGTTTGTTTCTGACTGAAAAATGGTATTTTTAAATAACTTTTATTTGTATGGTTGTTTTTCATGAGAAATAATTGAACAGTTTGAATGACTTGACTTGGTGTCATTATCTTGCAATATAAACCGGTAACCTCACAACTCCACACTTCATCACCATATGAAGTAAATGAAGCTAGCTAAGCTGATGCTGTAACAATAAATAACTTGCCATTAAGGATTATTTTATAGCATGAATTTTAAAATATTTATTCAAATGATATTTTACTCTTGTATTCACTTTGGTTTTAGATTTGTGACATGAATATTTCAGTGCTGCTTTATTTTGTTCTGATGAATTTGTTTCTTGCTTGTAAATTGCCTTTTTTATGGTATAAAGTCAATGGGAATTGCTGTTTGTAAATTAAAATGCTTCTAGAGCAAATCTGTGGTGTCAGTGTCTATATTTAGGTATTTAATTACTAAGGAACTTGCATTTCCTGAAGTGTTATAAGAAGCTGTGGTTTAATACTCATGTACCAACAAGTAATCACAACTCCTGAGAGACAAACTCCTCCTGAAGTTTCTCCTTTTTGCCAGCATTGCTGGTTTAGTCCTGAACAGATGGAGTGTTGTGCTCCAAACCCTTGTCCAGCTCTCAGAGCAAAACAAAACCCCGCCTGGGTGATGGCAGTCTGCCTTGCACTGAGCCAAAGGCAAGTCACTTGGGCTGGGGGTCATGTTTCTTTTTGACAGCAGCATTTGCATTTTATGTTATGCCATATGTAAGAGTAGAGCTAATTCTGTCCTCAGCAAGCATAAGGGTACAGCTCCTCCTAGCCCACGATCTTGAACTGAAGCTACTTTCTGCTGATAGCCCAGCCTTAACTTGCTTCATGGCAGCTGGCTGTTGACAGCTCTTTAAGTGCCTTTGTAACAAGCAGTTTCTTGGAGGAGTTAATATATCCTCAACCAAGTTGTATACTACCAGTGATTTGCTGAGACAGACTTATCCTTCCTGGGACAACTGGAATTTTGCAGAAAGAATTTTTGCTTTACATTCATGAAAACACAGCTGATACTATTAAATCTGGTTAAAATTTACCATCACCATTGCCAGTATTTTATTGTGAGAGATGTATGCCAGCAAAGACTTTTGTTCTCTAATAAAGCTGAATTAAATTTAAATAGGTTTTAATCTCATGTGGTGGCAAAGGGTGTGTTTGTCTAATGCTAATGCAGCTGAAGGATGTAGCTATCTTTACTGGCCTTGGGGTTTTGGGGGGTGGGAGGTTGGTTGATATGGACAGACTGAGGAAGATAAACCATTTCAGCAAAACATCTGCTCAAATCCCCTTGCTTGTATGGACTGAAAATACGATGTAGAATGGGGTAAAGAAGACATGACTGCTAGGAGAGGAATAAATGTAATGTTGCTTTGACTGGGAGAGCAGGGAAACAGAATATAATGCTGCTTCTTGCATTCCCCTCCTTATCTGGTTTGGTTTGTTTTGCTTGAGCTGGTAGAATTGTTCCATCTTGTCAGGCAGCCATCCAAGTTAGAAATCAGATGCAGCAAGGTTGTGTCCATGGAACTCGACACAGCTTTTAGAGCCAAGATGCTCACCAGTTCTGTCAGGAAATACTTGCTGTGTTTCCTTCATGATAGGTTTCTGTCCACAAAGCAGCCATACAGGCAGCTTTAGCTCTTTCCTGTGCAGACTTGTGAGTTGGGAACCATGTGAGCTGACATGATCCTCCACAACTGCATTATATATGTCACAGACTTGTTTACAGCCGATACTTCCCAAAGGGAATGTGGCACAGATATCACAAAACACTGGGCACCTTGTGGAAATCGCTTTAGCTTGCAAGTGTACAGAAGGGGCTGCACCACAGCATCACTCACGTGCCCCAGTAGCTTGTGGTTATTGCTGTTTGAAGGCAAGTGGAAAGTTTCCTCCTTGATATGGCTGACTGGCTTTAGTCAAGCAAAACAAACATGCTGGATTTTGTTTGTGCTATGCAAGTGCAATCTAAGTTACGGAGTTCCAGATAAATTTACCCTTTAGACCAGATACTGTTCGTAAGGACACTAAACTTTTTGGGAGTGATGGGGGAAGGGCAAGTTTCTAAGAATTTCTTTCACATAGAATCTGGAGAGAGGCTTCTGATAAAGGTCTGTAGTGACAGGACAAGAAGGAACAGCTTTAAATTGACATATTGAGATGAGATCTTAGGCAGAAGTTCTTCCCTGTGAGGGTGGTGAGGCGCTGGCGCACATTGCCCAGAGAAACTGTGGCGGCCCCATCCCTGGCAGTGTACAAAGTCAGGTTGGACAGGGCTTGGAGCAACCTGGCATTAGAGAAATGCCCTTGACCAAACAAATGCCCATCCTTCTATGAAGAATGATTTTTTGAGGCAGTTTTGCAAGGCTGATGGATAATTCATCAGTAAAAGGCAGTGTCAGGGCAATACTAAGGTGCTTGTTTGAAAACATAGTAAGCAGGTAAAGGACAGTGACTCTATCTAGATATAAGTGAAATGTGATGGTAAGAAAATAGATATATTGAGAATTAATGGAAAAGCCCTTAAAATGAAGATACACAATTGCTTTTGGAAGAAAAAACTTGTGAAAACAATTAAGGGATATGACCAAAGCAACAAGATTAGATAACTGTATTTGGAGGTTTAATGTGTCAAAACTTGTCAAGCTAGTCAAAGCTGAAGTGATGATGTTACAATCAAATTTCACACAGTGTAAAGCACAGTGTCTGGTCAAGAGTCATTCATAATGCATCAGAAGACTTCACAGTATTTGAATAGTCTCTTAAGATTGATTTCTCTCCTTCTGTAGAGAGAAGTCCTCTGATAGAAGACATGGAGTTCCCCTGGGCTCAGATACAAGATGACACAAGTCAACTGCCTGTGTAAAATGGCTCGTAGCTTCAAAGGACCCCTTCTTTGTCCATGTTGTCCACACAAAGATGTGGAAGTAAGAGAAACTGTGGTGGTGTACATTATTTTAAGATTTATAAGATGTCTCTAGACTACCAGAATAATTCTGATATTCTTTGCACTTAGCACTTAGAAATTTTTCAGGTTTTTCTTTAACTCCCTTTTTGTCTAGTGAACTTTTTTCAATGTATTTTTACTGCACAGAAATCAGATTTCATCTAGTTCTATCTAGAGATACCCCACTGACCTTGGGTAGTTCATATTTGTTTAAAGTTGCAATCCATGGCAATAATTACAGTACCATAGTACAGTATGTGTGGTTAAACTTCAACTTTTCTGCTTGTTTAGAGTTTGTCCCTAATAAGTTGGAAAATATTTTAGGCTACTTCAGCACAGATAGCCAATAAGAGTATTGTATTGGCTTAACTAAAGTAACTTATTTCCAAAGCACGAAATTTGGTAAAGCTTGAAAATGTTTTTCTCTAAATCAGCTTCAAGCAATGCTGACAGACAAATGCACACAGAAAAAAAGTTTGGTTATTGAAACTGATAGTTTATAATCTTAAATAACAAACAAGTTCTTGATCTACTTTCATTTGGTTCATTTTTCCTCCTATTGTATTGTTCATGGATTCAGGAGAAAATTAAAAGAAAATTCAATCAAATGTCAGTTGAACTATAGACAGAAACACTGTATTAAAATCTTGGGAAATTACCTGGCTAATGGCATTGTCCAAAGTGACATTACGTGGCTGGGTACTTTGCCAACCCTTTCAAATAACTCAGGTCAGTACAACCCTAAATCTTGCCTATGCATTTTTTTCCACCAGAGGGTGCTGGCCAGTTTATGAAAGTATAAATTACGTAGGGACCATTTAAGGTGCGTCACGGAGGAGAAACCTGAAACAGGAACTAAAAAAAAGTTTCCAACCTTTGTTTATTATAGTACCCTCAACAGGAGCGGCTGCCAAGTAACCCCATTCTTAGCAGGGCAGTGTTTATATCCAGGATTTCAGAGGATGTCCTGCTGTAATGCACAAGACCTATTTAGGCAGTGGCAGTAGACATCATCACTTTGCAGTACTTTAAGCATCAGTTTGGAATCTCATAATTATTAGGATAGGAAGTAACTACCTTTCAAATTGTTTTTTTCTGAATCCTTTAGAAATACCAGTAGCTATATATATATATAATTATTATAATATATGTAATGACATATATATTATTGTTGTTATTTTAAGAGGACTGTAGCCCATGAACTCTTATTTTAATGTCCTGGCATTCTGATATAGGACAGAGTGAAAACATTTTCCCAGACAATCTTGTACTCTTTCTCTAGTGGGAGCTGATGCTGGAAGTTTTAGAGGAAAGCTCATGTAGCTTAGTAGTACTAACAGGATAAACTCTGCATATGCCTATGAACTGACTGGAGATTCATATGAAATTAGTTAAAATTCTTCAGCCATTCTGGAGGTATAGTGTGTAGGGAAAATAACTTTCCATATAGTGCATTTGGTTTTGATGTGGATATTGGAGTTGTGAGCATCAGTATTCACAAGCAGATTCCAAATCTATATTTATTTCTATAGTATATTTTCAAATAGAATCTTTCTGCTTTGGAAAGAAAGCTCACATGTTTAATTGGGATGTCTGAAGGTGTTTAAACTTCTCTGGACTTGACAGTCATTGAAGTAACTAGTTACTAGTTACTCCTAGTCTCCTTTAGTAACTGGGATATTGGAGAAAGACCTGGTTTCAGCTGTAAGTTATTTTTTTCTCCTTCGTATTTGCTGGTGCAGTGCTGTTTTGGCTTTAGTCTGAGAACAGTGCTGATAACACAGCATGGTTTAGTTGTTGCTCAGTAACGCTTACTCTGATCAAGGACTTTTCAGTCTCGTGCTCTGCCAGTGAGGAGGGACATGGGAAGCTGGGAGGAAGCAGAGGCAGGACACCTGACCCAGACTAGCCAAAGGGGTTTTCCATACCACAGCACATCATGCCCAGCATAGAAACTGAGGGGAGTCACCTGGAAGGGACCCACTGCTGTTCGGGTTGGGCTGGGTATTGGTCAGTGGGTGGTGAGCAATTGCATTGTGCATCAGTTGCGTTTATTGTTTTTCTTTTCCCCCCTTCAGTTTTATATTCTCTCCCCTTGTTGCTTTCCTTACCATTAGTAGTAGTAGTAGTTGTTCTGTATTATAATTCAGGTATTGGACTGTTCTTCTCTCAACCCATGTTGTTCACATTTTTTGATTCTCCTCTCCATCCCACCCAGAGAGGGGGAAAGGGGAATGTGAGTGAGCGGCTGCATGGTGCTGAGTTACTGGCTGGGCTTAAACCACAAGAGAGACAAGTTATGTGTTCTGGACATCATACCATCTCTCAAACGGCCTCTGAGTACCCTCACTAGGGTTTTGTTCTGTCATGTGTAACACCACAGCTCAATCTGATGGACTGGAAAGCAATCCTGCATGTAGCTAATACCACACAGGGCAAATGTTTTCCCTTCAGTGCTTGCAGGCCACCTACCCGCTGACCACTGCTTGTGGAGAAGCTGTAATTCAAAGAAAGATGCACCTTGCTTTGGCCATGTAGCTTCGAGCACTGTCCTGCACCACTGTCGAGAGATGAAGCGTTTAGCATATGGTAAACCATGCACAGTGGGAATGTCCTCTCCTCCAAGTACGCTCAGGAAGCCGCAAAGCCCGGCCCGTTGCTGTGGGAGAACGCGTTGCCTCACTGCCGGGCGTCTCCCGCACCGTCGCTGGGCTGTGAACCCGACCCCGGGCTCGGTTTGGGGGTCGAGATGTTCTTCCATGCATGTACCGCAGGAGTTCCTATCCGCACCGCGGCCAGGGTGAGTGGCTGGAGACAACCCATTTGCCGCCTTTGCGCGTAAGACGGGCCGCGTTACCTCAGGGAGCGCCTGAACCCGCCGCCCGGTGCCAGGCTGCGGGTGGGACCGACCAGGGGCACAGCGTCCTGCGGGGACAACACCGGCGCTCCAGAGCCCACGCTGCGGCCCCGTGGGCCCGCCCTGTGCCGTTGAGGGCCCGCCCTGTGCCGCTGAGGGCCCAGTAATCTGAGGGCCCGGACCCGCCGGCGGGAGGGCGAGGGCGCAGCCCAGCACGCGCAACGCACCTGCAGGCGGCGGTGGCAGCTCCTACGCAGTGCCAGCCCCGCAGCCGATTGGCTAGCGCTCCCGTGCGCAGCAGCGATTGGCTGTCCGGCCCGTCATTCCAGTGCTCCCCGTTCTCGCCCCTCGCCCCCCCCTCAGCCGGCTTGGGCCTCATCCGCCGCGGCAGCAGCGGGTGGGGGGCTCGGTCCGGCGGGCGGCCTGAGGCTGCCCACCCCCGGCCCGCTGCCGGTGGGGTCCCCGCGCCGAGAAGCCTCGTAGGCGACGCTGGGAGCAGCCGTTCCCGGGCAGGTGAGACGCGGACAAGCCCAGCGGGACAGGTGGGACTTCCCCCCCCTTTCACCTCAGCGCGGGGCGGCTGCGCTCGCCCAGCCCCGCCCCGCTATAGGCTCGTCCGCCGCAGCCCCCCACCCGGTTGCCCGTTGCCGTCTCCGCTTCGGGCGTGTGCTGTGGCTGGAGCTCTGCGGCGACGGGCCCGGCAGGAGCCCGCCCTCCAAGGACGCTCAGCTCCTGGGGCTCCCGGCGCCGTGGAGGGGCGGTGAACGCGGTGTGGGGCGCAGCCGGTCTCTGAGAGCGGCGGTGGCGCGGCCCGCGGGCAGGTGCGCTGGAGGAGGATCGGTGCCGCTCACCGCGGCCTCCGGCGCGAGGCCCCGCCTTGTGAGCGCCGCTCTGGGCCGGGCCGCACCGGGTTCTGACTGAGGGGCGTCGGCGGGTGCCCACGCGGCCTTGCGGCCTTGCGGCCTTGGGCCCAAGGTGCGTTCCCTGCCCGCGCTGCGTGCCCCGGCTTGCGCGAGCCCTGCGCGCCTTTGCCGCCAGCGGTTGCGGCCCCGCACAGGTATTTCCCCAAGGGGCTGCGGTGTTTCGCTCTGGGACAGCCGGTGTTGTGCTGCCCGAGGCTTGGTGGGCAGTGGGAGGAGCCCTTCTAGAGGATGTATTTGTTGAGCAGGGTAGTGGGGGGAGCAGGTGGAAACCTGCTGGGTTTGGCCACATCCTCCCCTGGGATTTCAGAATAAATCTGAAAACCATTTGCATATCATGTGAGTGATACTGTGCAAGTCCTGTTAAAGAACTTTGGCTGACATCTGTTTTCAAAGCGCTTCAGATAATTTTTGGGCTGGCTTCAGCATGTCAAAGGTTTTGGCATGCACTGGAGAAGGAGCTGTTGCTGAACTTTTCAGTTGTAGAACCGCAGCATGCCTTTTGTCTGTTTTTCTGTACCTAAAAATATTGAACATAATCTCTTATCTCGCTTATTATTGAAAAAATGTTTATAGAATCACAAAATGGTTTGCGTCAGAAGAGACCTTAAAGCTCACCCTACCACTGGCAGGGACACCTTCCACTAGACCAGCCTGCTCCAAGCCCCATCCAGCCTGGCCTTGAGCACTGCCAGGGATGGGGCAGCCACAGTTTCCCTGGGCACCCTGTGCCAACACCTCACCACCCTCACAGGAAAGAACTTCTGCCTAAGGTCTCATCTCAGTGTCCCCTCTGTCAGTTTAAAGCCATTCCCCCTTGTCCTGTCCCTGCATGCCCTTGACTTTTTAAGTCCCTCTCCAGTTTTCTGGTAGGCCTCCTTTTTAAAATTTAAAATTCAATCTGGGTTGGTCCCTTTTAGGATTTGGAAAGATATTCCTTGCCTTAAAGACATTGTAGTTGAATGTAGCAATCTGCCCTTTATGGCCAACAGGTGCTTTTAAAGTCAGATTTGTTTTCACACTGAACATTCATGCTGTGCCTAGTAGTCATTCTTCATGTGTGAGAAGGACAGGAAGTGTGTGTACTAAGGATAGAACTATGTGCACTTGTTTGCTAGTTTTCTGTGTTGCCTGTCCCGCATGGTGTGGCACCAGTTTGAAGAGAAAAACAAAACAGCAACAGAAAAACACACCAAAAACCAAACAAAAAAAACCCCACCCAACAAACAGAAAACTCCTATTATAACCAAGTTCTTTTATTCATTTTTTTTGTTCATTTACCTTATTTTAGTAAAAGGGCGATATCTAGGAATCAAGAGGGGCCATAGTTATGAGCTTTGCTTTTTGTTCTATGTGAATTTTGTTTATATTATGAACTCTCAGTGCAATGTTAAAGAAAAAAAAAGGATTAATTCTATAAATAGACAAGGAAATAGTAGACAGAATGGGGAGGATTTTAAGTTCTAAAGCATTTGGTGAAAATGATACTTGATTATAATGCACATTTTTCATATCCTTATTTTAAAAAGGAAGGTAAAAGTTCCCAGTTTGTCTCATGTCATCTTCAGGTGACAGAAGGTGAAGAAGGTTTAGGTGTGGGGTTTATGCCAATTAGTGTATTCACATTTTAAATGTTTAATTCTGCCACTGGTATGTGAATGTAGATTCCAGTTTTGTCCTTTGCCAAAGAAAAAAACTGTTTGACATAGTTAAATTATGCTGCTTTAAATGACTTTCTGTTTTGACTACATCTGTTGATTTCATAAGCAGTCAGAATTAGATATTCAGAACTATCACATCTCTTAAGTACAAGGATTTTTAAGAACGGAGACTAGTTTAAAAAATGTGGTTTCTTATGTTTGGATCTGAAGACAGTTACCTATTTTGCATAAATTTCTCCAAAATAAATGTTTATAGAACGTGTTGCACCAAAGAAGTTGAAGAAAATAGAAAGTTAATGGAAGCTTTAAAAGTTCCTTTAGCAAGTAATATGAAACATAGGGATTTTATACTATTTTACAGTTACCTAAGATATGGTTTGGAATTACCTCATTTTTATAGTGGTTTTTTTTTTTCCTGATTCCTGTCATTCCTTTATATATAAAATCAGAATCATAGAATGGGTTGGGTTGGAAGGGACCTTAAGCTCATCTAGTTCAACCCCCTGCCATGGGCCGGGACACCTCACGCTATGTTGTCTGTATGTTGACCTTAGTATTCTCCATAGCTCAAAGCTTTTCATCAGCTATAGCAGATAACTGTATTATTATAAAAAATAATTTTTACTGGGTTTGTTTTGTGAAACACATGCTTCAACTTGAATGAATGTTGTCTCTTTAAAAGTTGCTCAGTTAATTTGTGGCAAGGTGCAGCAGTTGTGTTTAATGCAGGATGCCAAATACTGATGCATCTCTTTTTTCCCAGCAAGAGGCTGTTTTCTTCCCTGTTTGTTAATGTTTTCGCGAGCTTCTGTTTGGTAACATCAGGAGTTGGGGGTGTGTATCTGTTTCTGATAAATGCTTTCTGTCTGCCTCATTGATGCCCATCTTCAATACCAAATGACTTTTGACTTATCAACAGCACGGGGGGGGGGGGAGGTGGAGAAACAGGAAGAATTAATGCTGCTTAGTTGAAAAGTTTGGATACACTGGACATTGCCAGCACAGAGTTTGCAAAGGCATTTTTTTTTTTCCAGCTGTATCAAATTTTTACTTTAAAAGTTAGTTTTTAAAGCCATAGAGAGTGAAAGAAGTAGGTAGAATGGAGCACTCTCACGGACACATGCAAGCAAAAACTGAATTGCCAGGGAACAAGTCTGACTGACAAAGCTGAGATCGGGTGTGAACGTACATGGTGTGTGTAATTTTGCTTGAAATACCGAAGTGGATGCTAGCGCATGTGTAACTTGTTATTTGGATTCTTCTATGAACTAGGATCCTTTCTTATGCAGGGAATGCCAGCTGTATGCATAGAGTTTGGGTAAGTTTTGAGTGTGTGGATGCTACTTTTCTAGCAAAAGATGGTTTTCTCTGATGCCAGTAAGAATTATATGTGTTTAAAGACTAGAAGATACACATTTTTGTAAGTGAAGGCTCCTTAGCAGTAGAAGGAGAACAGAGACTGCAGCAGAGGCACAGAGTAACACCATGTGATCCTCAGTGATTTTTTAACTTTATCAAAGCAACATGGGCTTTAATGGGATTTTCATGTCAGCTTCCATATGAAAGTGTCTATCTTCGAGATTCTTCTCGTTTGATGTATACTTTTCTTAAACCGCTGTTGTAAAAGTTGGTATAAGCAAAAGAGGAGAAAAGGGAAGGGCTCTGTCTAAATATCACCACTCAAGTTATCTAAACAGTATCTTCTCAGGTTTGTGGCTGACCATGTTTGGTGAAGAGCTGTGGCTTAACTTGCTGATACAGAAAAAGAGGAATGATTGTATTTGGTTTTGTGTCCATTCTGCTTTGTTTAGTTAAGTCTTGAGGAAAATGAAGTGAGAATGAGTAGCATTTACCATTCATAAAGCACCTTGAAAGAAGTTACTAAAACCAGTAAGCAAACCCATATTAGCTTGGATCTTGTGTTGAGTGGCAGAGTGAGGAAGAGTTACAGGTACGTATTTGGAGAATATTTAATTATGAAATTCTTGGTATGTTGCTTTTCCCCTCTGTGATGTATTTAGTTTTGAGTTTGGGAATTTATCACATACAAGTGAAACTAGAATGAGGAACTATCCATCAAACCTGGGAGGGAGAGCTATGAACAAAAATAGCAGGGTGCATATTTCAGATAAAGAATGCACAGTTTGGGAAGAACCAAGTTATATAATAAAGGTCACCACAATCCTGTTTCCTATTAATTTACAGGAATGTCATGCTTTTAAACAGGAGAGAAACCTACTGAATAGCCAGAACTAGACCCAACAACCAACTAATGGAGGTTTGCAACAAAATGGGTTGAGTGAGTGCAGAGCCACCTTATTCCACTGTAAGTATGCAACTGTAATTAAAGTCACAGGTATTCTCCCATTTTCACTTGTTTGATAACACAGATTACAGAAGTGTCTGTCAGTTTTCTTCTGTTCAGAGAATCTAGAGGCCCATTAGAGTCATGATAGTATTGTATTATGCTGTAATACAGCAGATAGACATTTCTTTTCCTGGGAGTGTTTTATTGAGATTCCCCTAAAGTATAACTCTGCTAAGCATATGTCTTGTCCTTCTAACCTATGTAATCAGCATAGGTTAGAAGGGTAATGGCTTGTGAGGCAGGATTTATGCTGGAGAGGAGGTTCCTAACTTGTGAGCTTGTTTTGTTTCTTTGAGATTATTATTTGTTCTTTCTTAAGGACAATTATTGCTTTGTTACTGTTGTGAACCTAGAAATATTTTTCATTTTGTTCACTCTGGTGTTATGCAGCAGTGCTTTCTCCCTTTTCCCCTCATTTTATATATTAATCTTCCAGTTTCTTACAATTTGCCTGCTTCATCAAGTGCTCAAAAGTCCATCACTCATCAATTTTCTAGCTACTGACCTAAAGGATTCAGACCTGAAGAACTGGTTGGTTCTGGATAGCAACCATTATTTTGGTTGCTGTTTGGATGAAATGAATAATCCTCAAAGCTTTTGCTTTGGTTTCCCAATTTCTGGACTATTGTAAATCAACTTCTGCCACCACAGTGCTCAGCATTAGTTCAATGAAAAAATGGGAAGGGGAGGAAAAGGGAGTTTGTTTCATCCATTTGTCTTCAATTAAGGCATTCTTTATTTTTGTCTTGCCTTTTTATTTTTTTTCTTCCTTACTGGAGGAAAAAAAAACATTCTTTTTCTAAGAGATGCTGTAAAATAGGCTCTCAGAGTAATTGTGTAAACCCCTAAGACCTAGAAAGCACTTTCTTTCCAGTTTAATTTCTTAATCTATTAAAGATGAATACTTGTTCTTTTCTGAGGTATGAATACATATTAAAACAAAGGATTTAAGACATTTTGAGAACAGGCCTGTAGTAAGAGTCGCTGCCACCTAGTGGAACCATGCTCTAAAACTATGTAAATAGCGCTTTACTATGTTTCTTTTCCTTACGCAGCTAGTGTTGATTGTATCATAACTTGTTAATACAGTAAATGATGGTAGAAGTAGCTGAATAGGGAGATGAGGAGAGAACACTTATTAGTTAACTTGTAAATATAATAAACGGTCATTAGGGTGAACTCTAGTTATTAGTGGATATAGTAAAGTTATGGGACATAATTGGGATAAAAGTAGATCACATTCAAACCTGCATTGTCAGCCTCCTGCTCTTCCATGGTTTTAGCAACTAAGGATCCTGTGAGATATTTAATAATTTTGAAATAGATTTTGACAGTTTAGGGGGAGTATGAAGAGTCTTTTCATTATGGGTTGTGCACACAGGCCTGTAAGACCTTGAACCTGCTTTTTCATGAGTAAGACTTGATTGATTGGCAGCTTACTGCTGCAAGAATCAGTTTGTCAGCCTGTTTGCTCAGGAGGGATGTGTATTATTGAGGAATATTTATTTTGGTGATTTCATTTTGTGGGTGGTTAAATCAGTGGGGTTAACATGTAGTTAATCCACAGCCCCTTAATACTTATTATGGTTTTGGTTAAAATCCTATTTCAGTTCTCTGAAGATTGACAGGTCTAGTGATCATAAGTCTGGGACACATTGTTAGTTCTGCTCAACTTTTGTCTTTGTGCTCGTAGTGTAACAGAGAATGGTACAAGCTGCTGCACTGAACTTTGGAGTTCTGTTTCCCTTCAAAAGGTGTATTGTCATTTGATCTTGTCACACCCATTTATAGGGCTTTATATAGAAAATAATAAATTATTCCATTACATTTTCATTATTATTCATTCAGTAAGTAAGAAGTTCCTCAGAAAGGAATGCGTGTGAAACTGTTAAACTGCTCATGGCCTATTTTATCTATAGGTGGTACTGTTGCCTAAAGCATAATGAAATGTATTAGGCAATTTCTGGTGAATTGGATACTGAAAATATGCAAGAGTTTTTGTTCAGAAGGATCTTTAGTTGTATAAATGTAATGGCTTTTTAATCTTCTGCAGCCTAATTGCTTTTTTCTTACTAAACTGTTGGCAATTACTATTTAAATCCAGGCTTTTGAAAATTTCAGCATTTTCCTGTTGTACAAAATGGCCACTAAGGTTTAATGTTGAACTACTTCTAAAGGACTTTTGAAATGAAAAGAGGCTTTTCATAGAAAGCATTGTGACTATTTAGGCAAGTTGACTGTCCAGTCTCACATATGCCTTTGTGCATGCAGTGTATATCATGAATAGACTCAGAATGGCAGATGAACATTGCTATTTTCTGAAGGAAGTGGGGTTTACACGGCTTGTTTCTGCCTTTGCTCTAGGAGATGTGGTCTTTTTCCTCCACTTTGCGCAAATCACACGTGAGGGATGAGAAATGGGGTTTGAGAGGTGATACTTGACTGGGCAGGGGCACTGAGGAAAGTGAAGGTGTGATGTAATGTTTGAATGTACTAAGCTTTTGTGAGGGGATGCTGTCAGGAATAAAATGGTTTTATACTGGTGTTGCTCAGAGCTTTTGATGTTTGTACATCAACTTTTCTCTAGGTTATCAAGTATCCACATAGCACGTACCAGCTGCTGCTTTGAAAGATTTAAAGAAATTATCTTCTGGAAATCTTTCCAGAGTGACTTGCTCTGTCACTGCAATGACAAAACAGCTGTAATGTCTCAAGACACGGAAGGATTTTGAAAATTTTCTTCTGTTTTAAATATTAAAATGATACTAATAAACCAAATAAACTTAGTGGAATATGGAGAACAAGCAGTGCATAGTTTTGGATACCTTGATGCTAATTGCCTTTTTATTTAGCAGTAACACAAAAAAGTAGGACTTGTTCCCCCTTAGGAGCCTCTGGGCTGAAGCTGGATGTGATGTAGGGACAAGTTTTACATCAGTGCCTGAATGCAAGCAGAAGGGGGCATAAGTGTCGCCACATTATTCTTTCATCCTGTTCATAATAGAACCCCATTTTCCTCTTCCAATATGTTAACTGTGCTAACATTCTCATCTGTACTCTATGCCCACAGCATCTGAATATGGACTTTGTCCACGGTTTATTAAGGAAAGAAATGTTTTAATGGTAAACATCTGGAGAAATAGTTTGGGAATGAAGAAAGAGGAAAATAAGTGTAACGGTGAAGAACAGTTCAGAATTGATGTGGAGCTCTATATGGTCTATTGTAAATGTGGCAATTGTTAGTGAAGTGGGATAGTGTATTGTTGATCTTGCTGGAAGTAGAAAGCAACATTCTTCCAGTATTCCTTATTCTCTTATCTTGGTTGCTGACAGTCATTCTGATGTTAGATGCCACATTCTGGAAAGCGTGTCCTCTGAGGAGCAGTACCAGGTCTGATTGAAAACCCGTCTAGCTCAGTATTTTTTCCTCCTGCAAGCAAATCAGTAAGAACACTAGTTATCAGTGGGTGCTTACATGGTTATTCTCATGTTTGCTGAGAGCAGTGTGAACAGTTAGTGACTTCATCAGGTGGCTCTGCTGGCTTTCAGGTGTTAGGGCACAGGGACTTCCTTGGCCAGAGGTGATGTTTGTGCTTAAGAGCCATTTAGTGACTTCCTTGTGAGTTGGGTAACTAGAAATGAGAATGAATTTAAGTCATTGTAACTGGATTACATGCATGTTACTAACAGAAATGTAAAATTGCATTCCCGCTTTCAAAGAATGTCACTTACGTGCCATAAATACCAAAATTTGATAAATGCTGGTAAAATAATGGCTACAGGGATTACTTTTGTGCTCAGTTTTTATGGTGGTGGTTTCTGTTTTGTTTTTCTTTTCAGTTGTTCTTGCACTGTCTTCACTCTTGCTTCAGTGAGAGCTACATATCTAAATGGGTTTGTTAAACTGGCAAAGAAGAACAGACAACCTCTGGTGGTATGTATGTTTGCATCCTAATTTATCCACTTTGCTTCTGGCAATCTATGAATGAGATCTACTGCAATGTACCTGTGAACCTTCCTATAAACAGATAAGGTGTTTTCTTTGTTTTGATATTTTTTTTAGCACTGTTTGTATAAGGCATGATTTTAATGATTAACCTGATCAACTTGAAAGGGCAAGTTGCAAAAGCAGTGGAAAGAAATCATGTGATTTTTATGACTTTTTACCTTTAATTGCCAACATGTCAGTATGGGGGAGTAGCTTTGGTATTATTTTTAATATCTTTGTGCATAAAGTCTGACAGCCTTCTGTTACAACATGCTTAGTAGTAGCTTCACTAGTACTTCATTTGCAGAATAATACCTTCTGTGATAGCAAGTGCGGAAATACTTCAAATGACTGGGTGATTTCAGTAGAATAAAAACCACTTGGACTTAAGTTAAAAGCATAATTGCTTCCTATGACATTCCTCAAGGTAGCAAAACAAGGAACTTTTTTCCATAGGAGGTGTGAATCTTGGAGAAGCCATGCACACAGGGTAAAGCAGTGCGTTTTTAATGCTTGTGTTATACTTGAAACATTTTTTTTGAAAAAAAAAACTGTTTTGGTCCATTTTAGAATGAAAGTATCTTGGAGTTTTTTGTATGTACTGGGTGTTGAAAGGTAGAAGTCTGTTAGTGCTTTTTGTTTCAGAGATTAAAGCACTTCTGTCTCTCTTGTTTATTGAATGTTAAAACTTGGAGTAAAACTGAGCTTGGTCAGGATACAAGATCACATATGGGATTTTTCTTTCCCCTTTCAGAGCATTTTTAGCCCCCACACTCTGGAAAGCCGAGTCAGAAAGGCGGAGAAGGAGGAGACGAGTATATTTTTGTGGCCTTGATGTAAATGCCACGTTTTAAAGAAATTACATCATGAAAATTACTTTCCACTTCAGTATCTCTAAGGACTATTAACGGGAGCAGCTCCAGACCTTAGAAATACTTTGCAGTCTGTTAGTACTCAAAATATGAGTTAATCTTATCAAGACACAAGATAAAGGAAATTGCTTCTTGACAAGTTTAACTGAGGAGATTCTGGCAGAGATTTGAAATAGAGTTACTGATCTGTTTCACGTATGCCCATGAGATTGCGGGGAGAGTTGTTTTGTCATGTAAGGCCTTGTGGAGATGACAGGTAGGGTGAAGACCTCATCTTTATTGAGGGAGTAAAATAAGGGGTTATTTTTATTCTCAGCTGCTTGCTTTCCTAGCATTTTCCTGTTTGTGTGATCAGAAGATTGTGGGAAAGGGTGAGGATGCAAAGGGAGATGTGGCAGAATCCCAAGTTGCTTATTTGAGGACCTGCAGATTTTGCTGGAAGAGTACCTAGGAGTCTGTGGCAGTGGTTGCCTCGAGGTCCTTCCATGTGTGCTGTGGGGAATGATGGAGCAGCCATATACGCTGTTTGTTTTCTCAATTTAAAATGAATTAGAGCTTGAGCTGACTTGGTAGTTATAAGCAGTCGTTAGGTTTTGTGTGTACATGCTTACACACATGCAGAAATGCATATGCTGTATCTGAAAAATTTCTACTACATCATTATGATTTATTAGCTGTAAATTTTCACCGCTCTTATGGTTAAATTTTTTTTTGCTGTGTATATTTGAAAATAAAATTGTTCAGGGTTCCTTCGCTTCCCCTTACATAAAATTTTGACCAAAGGGAGTGTTTCAGTTGTCATTGGGTGGCAGTGTTCTGGAAGTATCTGTTGTCACTAGTTAAGTGATTTTATTTAAAAATGTGTAATTCTTTTATGAGTACCATTGCTGTCTGCGTTAAGTCTATAATCATAGTTGTTCTCATGTTAGTTGTCCCAATTTGTATACAAATTCTGTTTTTTCTGAATGAGATGCAACATAGCTTTGCGAATATATATCCACCTGTGTCTGTACAGTGTATATCGTTTAGTGTATAATGACATGTATCCAAGAAGGTGAAAACTGATTTCCTGATAGCAAGGAGATAAATGTTTAGAAATACTTAATGCTTCCCTTTGTTCAATAGTCAGGAATATACTGTCTCAGAATTACTTGTGCTTTATTTCAAGATTGAATGGTTCTTTCAGGTATGAGTATTACTGTTGTAATCAACAGTAGTTTTCATTAAGCACTTTATATTTCTGTGTGTTCATTAAATACTTAGAGATTCTGGAGCAGGTTATTTGATCCAAGTGGATAGAGGCAGCTTTTTCATGGTGCCACATGCTCGAATTTTTTGGAGTCCGGTCTTTTGATTTCTGGAGAAAGCTTAAGGTACTTCACATACGTGAAGCCAATTTGGAACTGCCTCTGTCTTCTTAATCCGGTTTGGAAAAAGTCTCACTTTGGACAGTGCTGTTGCTGGATTAGCAGAGATCTTTGAGATTCATCCTTCCAGCTAAGAAGGATGATGTTAGCCAGTTCTCTTCTCTGTAAAACTGTTCTTGGGGCCTGACATAAAATGCTTTTTCAGGTGCATCTGTCTGTATAGATATCAGTTGAGGTCTAAGCAGCTGCAAATAGGATTTGCATATTAGGAAGGTATACTGGGACTCAAATCCCCGGTTCTGAGACTAATTCAAGTGATGAACAGGAAAAAGTGAAGAAGTACCTGTATTTTCAATAAGTTAATAGTTCTGCTCTGTCACAGTTTGTACCTGAAAGATAAGAGGGATTCTAGCTCCTAAGATCATCTTATGTCTGAAGTCCTTTTCTCTGAGAAAGGACAATGAAATCTCTTGTATTGTTAGGTGTTCTTAAATTTTATTTATTTATTCTCATAAATGCATTTGTTTTGCAGGAATTCTGTCTTCATCATGTTGTCTCACCAGTGCGGGCTGAGCTGAAACTTCCTGCATCTTGGGGAGAGCATGTATAAAAGGAATGAGCTCATGGCCAATGTGATGGTCACCTCCGCCACTCCAGAGGTACAGTTCCTTACTTAGTCTTGTCAGCTCCTGTATCAAAATGAACATCTTGACTTGTTTCAGCTTTCACAGAAGCCCCTTCCGCTACTAGTCATGTCAGTCCTTTTTCTTACAATGGGTGTAGTTTTTGACACCACTCCATGGTTCTCAGTGTTTACAACTAATTTGTTTTATTGTTGTTGATGATGGTTACTTATTTAGGTTAGTCTGAAATAGCATTTTTGACCTGTTTCTCTGTAACTTACAGGAGCCTTTTATTACTAATACGTTAGGAGCAATGTAACATACCATCTAAACAGAGCCAGTCAGAAACATTCCAGTCAGTTTGTTTTTTGAACACCAGGCAGCTCTGTTGTGCTGCTTCCAACAGTTACCTAATTTGATGTTGGGCTGCTGTGCACAGCTGACAGCCAATTGAAGACTGTTCAAAATCAGTTTCCCTACTGAGTTTTTCTGGTTTCTTTCTTTCATGTAGTATTATGATGAAATATTATAAATCAGCTACAGTAAAACTTGCCCAGTAAAGCACAGGTATGATTGAAGGTACTTTTTGCTTTTTAAAAAAGGTAACATTTTGTTTGAATTCTTCCCTGCTTGAAACCTTTTCATCTCTTCAGACAGCTGAAGAGCTGTGTGAAGCAAGTTTTTCCATCATAGTTATGCCTTTTGCACACAGAACTTAATCCTGTCAAAGCAGTTGTCCTGATTTTCATGAAACAAATCAGCTGCTTCAGTAGTGAGCTGATCTTTAAAAGTCTTATAGCAAAATAAAAAGTACATAATACAGCTGTGCTTTGCAGGGGATTATTTTCTCAAGCAGAGTATAAATGCCCTCAGGCTAACAGAAACAGGTTTTCATTCTCTCTAGGTGACATTTTGAATCTAGCTCCCCTTTATTTTCTTCTTGGTTTTGCCAAGTACAAATGTCAGGCTTCCTAATCAGTAGTTCCCCAGATACTTTGTAGGGAAAGAAAAATAATCAGATCTCATTTATCACCTTATATTTCTTTGCTACCAAGTCAGTTTTAAGTGAGAATTGCAAGTCACAGTTAGTTAGGATTCCAAAACATCTTGTTTTGAAAACTGTGTTCTTCTAGCAAACAGATAACCTCAGTGAGGTGTAAGAGCTTAAGACTTTATGTGCCAAAGTTTTTATTCAGTATGTAGTTTTAAGATAAGTAAGAGAAAAATAATGCTATTATTATTAAATCACATTGTCCTTGAAGAAAGGAAAATGACCCTCAAGTGCCTGCATTGGAGCCCAAGGAGAGAAGCTTCAAAAGGAATGCAAGGCACTAATTTTTAAGGCAGACACACACAGTACTCTTCTAAAGTAGTCTGCAGCTCACACTGGGTTAAATTTCAGGTTGTGACATGTTTTTCTTTTTTTATTCTGTTACGGATAGAGCAGCATGATTGGGATCTAGCCACTCTTTACCTTGCGTATTTAATTTTACAATTTCTATTCAATATGAATCTTCAAGATTCCAACATGTTTCCTGTTGTGTCACAGCACTTTTTATCTAGTTCATGATTTTAAAAATGGCTTTCTAAAACTCAAAACTTATTAAAATTGAATGCCACTGTATTTTTTGCAGAGGAAAGCGAGTTGGAAACATTGAACCGTGTAAACCGAATTTTAGAACTCGGTGCCTGAAGCTTTTTGAAGTTCTTATTTTCTTGTCATTTCTTAATATTTTTACATGTATTTATTTTCTGAATTTGACATGGAATTTATTGTTCTGCAGATAAGCCAAATACTTTCTCTTTGTAGGGCAGTAGCAGCTCAGATTCTCTGGAAGGGCGGAGTTCAGACTATGCCAATAAAAGCTACGATGCAGTTGTATTTGATGTGTTGAAAGTAACTCCTGAGGAGTTTGCAGTAAGTAGAAATGGTTTTTGCATTTAAGCTTGTATAATATCCAGGACTCGCAGGATATTAAAAAATACATAAAATGTTTTTCTTAAAATAAAAATCTTTTAAATAATCTGCCACTGTTCTTGAAAACCAATTTCTGATTATATGAACTTCAACAACATAAACATGTATTGGGATTTAATAATTCTGTACTGGCCTGACCAGACATACTTGTTTTTCTGTATAAAGCTATTTAATTCTTTTCTAGTGTTTTTGAAGACCTTAGCGTAGGTTTAAAGATGTTAGTTATCCACAGCCTGATTCCTTTTTTACATATATATATATATGTATTTACAAATATATATATCTATGAAATTGAAACCACAAATACTCATCTTTTGTGCTGAAATATCAGTTTCTCAGAAAAATTAGTTTCTTAAAAGCAGGAAAGAAGCTTGTAGAGAGGAAACAATTTGTATTCCTTAGTAACAAGGTTTCAGCACTAAACTGAAAGCAGAACTGCACATATGGCAGAAGTCCAGTACACTGCTTGTGCTTGCCCCTTTGTTTCTAAGTTATAGGTTAACTTGCTTAGCAGCACGGAGGAGTGAGGATGAAAGCTACTGAAATTTGTTCAGTGTTTTCGTTAATATTCTGGGCATCAAAGTGATGTTTCTTTCATTTGGTGTAAGTTTATATAATACCTGTTCACAAAAAAAGTGATGTTGACTTTAACATGGGCACACAAACTTTTAACACCAAGGCTTTCTTAGCCAGAATAGCTGTTTTCCCTGTGTTGCATTAAAGCCATTTACTTGGTTTGCTGTGATTCTCTTTTTTGTTGACAGCTCAAATGATGTTTACTGCTTCTGTTCCACACAGAGCAACAGATCATTTCTGTTTTCAATAAATAATAGCAGCCAGTGAATTCCACATATCATTTCTTGTTGCTCAAGACTGTAGTTGTCTGAATGCTTCAGATAACTCGAAGCAGATCAGCTGGGGAGAAGGAAAATAGCCACTGGTCTGGGTTTACTGTAGTTAGTACAGTTTGGTCACCGGACATCAGGACAGAGAGCTATCAAAGATGGGTTCTCTGTATATTTAGGGAAGGGAATGGCACCAGTTAAGGTCATTTCCAAATTTAGTGTGTTGTGTTCCTTCATAAAATTTAGAAGGAGCAGAGGAGAAATTCCCTGGTGGTGATCACATATACAACAGAAGGACCATTGGCTTGTCACTGCTACTGAATTTTGCTTTTGCCTTTTTGGTGATTTTGATTGAATTTTATTAAAACTACATTTAAATAGTTAGAATTCTTAATTAGTGGGGTCAAAGGTCTCAAAGATCCATTTTGAGAGGGGATTAGCAAATCTTTGCTATTTTTGGCTTAGCCTAACAAAATGGGCATCAGAGAAGCTTTGCTGAGAAAGATCCAAAGAAGTGTTTTTTACCAGTTTCTTTTACATATTAAATCATGTAAATTACAAAGGTAAAAGCTATGTAGGTTTATACACTCACAGTGTAAACTATTGGTTAAACATAAACTTAAGTCACAAATACACAATGTCATTCAGTCACTGAAGCAATTCAAATATTTTATCACTCAGATGCTAAAAATGTTCTATAAATGCTGTTTTTTCAAAATCATTTGGAAAAGTATTACATTGTCTCATCAGGAGGAGCTCATCAGTGACTGAAAATGTGTGTATGACCCCTTTAAAGCATATTTCAGTCATAACTAATTAACACATCATAATGCTTTATTGTCTTCCAGCCTAGCGAATGTAAAATGTATGATGCTTTCTATGTGAAAGGAAATAAACCTTCCTGCCATTAGTGTTTGGGCCCTTTTATTATGTAACAAAAAGACTTTCAGGCTTAAGTTTTACCTCTTAGACTGCTGCAGGTAGTGCAAACCTTCACTTGGTTACAGCTGGTAGATGTAAGAGAATATAATGACATGTAGCCGCTCAGGATGGTGGAGTTTCTGCTGTGATGTGTTAGCCTGGACAGAGGAAGCCAAATTCAGGTCTGGTCAGTTCTGGTCTACGGAGAAAATGAGAATCTGTAGTTTGTAGTTACTAAAAGACAGGTGTAAATACATGATTATTAGCTCTTCATATTACATTACTTATCTTTATTGCAGAGCCAGATTACATTGATGGATATGCCAGTATTTAAAGCTATACAACCTGAGGTAGGTTTTGCATTTGCTTTAATTGTGCCATAAAATTTCATAGCAAACCAAAATACTGATTTGCTGTTCTTCTTTCCATTTGTCATTGCTTCATTTTGCTTTCTGGGACTGAAATTTCCTGAAGTGCTACTCTGGTTGGCAGGTAGATGTAATTTAGTGAGAAATAGTCAGAAAAACCCCAACGTTGTGTTTTCAGCTTCTGCTAGAATACAGGTCTGTGACTAAGTAGCAGTTGCTATAAACTATTAGTTTTTAGTTGTATTTTCTGCCTTTTGTGTTGCTGCAGTTACCAATATAACTTAATTGTTTGTTTGCCAAAAATAAACATCTGTTTCTTTTATGAAGTTCTGCCGACTGTAAGACTAGGTTTTAAAGCAAGATACAGTCTGTGTATTTGTCATCTCCCTGCCTCTTGTTATTAGGTAAACTATTAAAACTAAGAAGGTTAAAATTTTCTCTTCAGATCAAGTATTTATTTATAGTCTGTAACTGTCTGCATTTGTTTGAGGCCTTGTAGCCTTTTAAATCAAGTTAATGTACTCATTCTTCTGTGTCCAAAGTGTGGATACCCTTTAATAAACTACTCCACTGAGGCCTGAAGGGTTTCACATAGATAACTGCTGTCTCTTGCATTGTTCATTGGCAGATGGTTGACTGCCATTTTACACTAGAACTCCACCTTCTTAGTCTTCCTTCCTGTATTGCATGGAAGAAGCTCATCATTCAGCAGCCATTGGGCTGTCTGCTTTAGGGAGTTAACCTGTTGTTGAATTTTTTGTCTGGGGGAAGAACATTATATTGTTTTTCTTCAGGTTTTAGTCTTTAACGTGAGCTCATGCATGGATGGAAAAACTTAAGATTTTGGAGTTCTGGTTGCCAAGACTTACTTCACACAAACATCCTTTAAACCGAGCAGTTACTGAGGTGCTTTTCTGCTTCTTTGATTGAGCTGTTACTAAAAAACACATCTGCATGTTCCTTTCCAAGAGTTTGATAAGATTAACAACTCTTTGTTCTCCAGCAGAAATAACTATGCTTACGTTTCTAGGAAACTTTTAGGGTTTGTTCTGTTTGGTTTTGTTATTTCAAAGTTCTGTAAACTGCAAACTCCACAAATTTCAGGGTTTTCTTGCACGCTTGATCAGAAAGCTTCTTGTGGCTGTGTGCATTGAGGAAATTGCCTGCGTCCTTCCATGCAAAAAGATGAAGTGTAATTCTAGAACACAGTACATTTTAGCAGCATTAGAAAAAATTCAGCAGGGGCATGTTGGATCACTTACTCTTATCAATCTTCCTGTTCAGTCCAAATTTTAAACGTAGTCAAATGATTTTACCATGCACAGGATTTTCCATTGTTGCTCACTAGCCCTTTAGCAACTGCTTAATATCCTTAGGTTACTGACCTGTTCATTTTTCTGATAAATGTAAATTCTGCTGTCCCTATTAGAGTGACTGAGATTTTTCCACATCAGCATGTGATTTCCAGACTCCTAAGATGAGATCACGTGGAGGATCTGCGTCTTGACAGATGTGAATTGGCATTTTTATCTGCAGAAGGCTTAAATGCTGGAACACTGGGATACAAAATACGTTTGGAACGGGAAATGCTTCTCGTGGCGCTCACATGGGAACATGCAGACCTCCACATCTCGAGAGTGTGCTCTGTTTATCAGAATGTACAAAGTGCTTTACAGAGGCAAAATTCTCTTTGGCTGTCTCTCTGCCTTTCATGTGAAGGCATCTGAAGTTAATAGCATACATTTGGAAAGTTGAACGTTTTGATTGAGACTGAAATTCGTGGTTCTAAAACCAGAAGAGTGACTTAGAACTGGTGTTATGGAGAACTCATTTCCAGTACGCATGTATCTCTCTTGTCACATCTGAATATAAAGACTCTATAGATAGGTGGTAACTTGAATCTGTAGTTAAAAAGAGCCAGGCTGTTTAAATGTATTTGCAACTGTTGGAAAATTGACGTTTTCTTTCTGGCTGTATTGTATGTATGAAAGTTCTACTAAGTGTGATAATGAAGACAACATTCAGGAACAACAGCTAGGTTACTGCCTCTAGTTGCACTGCTGAATTTTGTACTCTTTAACTACTGCTAATTTTGCTTAGTGATATGTTTAGCTTTAGCTCCACTTCTGAACCAGGTGAGGTTATATACTAACAAAGTCTTTAATCCTATGTCTGCTGAGTTGCTTGTGTGAGGGAGCCCTGGACTAAAATAATCGATGCAGAATAAAACTTCAGAGCCATCAGTTGTGGCTGATTGCTGAAGCTTTCTGTATGTGAATACTAATGTCTATTTTTTCTAGTATCAGGGAACAAACAAATCACATCATTTATGTACATCAGGAAAACACAGAAGTGTTTGCTTAGACTAGTCATGAAATTGATTTTACTAATCCTCTGATAGCTGTTTCTGTCATGTATCAGTTTTTACACTTAAAAATGTTTTTAAACATTATGGATTTGTAAGGCAATTTTTAAACGTGTTTCCTAGGAACTAGCAAGCTGTGGATGGAATAAGAAAGAAAAACATACCCTCGCTCCAAATATTGTTGCCTTTACTAGGAGGTTTAACCAGGTAAATGACTTGATTACTGTGATGAACAGGTACTGTTTGACAGTTGTCTTCGAGTATAAAGTTAAATAGAACAACTATGGATTAAAACTTAATATTTTTGTTATATGTGTTTACTTTATAGGTCAGTTTTTGGGTTGTACGAGAAATATTAACAGCACAGACCTTAAAAATAAGGGCAGAAATACTGAGCCATTTTGTGAAAATAGCTAAAGTAAGTGCAAATTTCTTGTACTATCATTCAAAATCTTACTTCTTTTTTGTTTGTTTCTGCACTGCTCCTGTGAGCTGTTGTTGGATTACAAAGGCTAACATTCCTTTTTTAGCATATTTGCTATGTTGTACTACAAGGATGAGGTATGACATCTATTGGTTTTCCTCGATTCAATAAAACTGCTTAGTTCAGTGTAATTAATCTTGTACCTTTGCTTACTGTTGCCTGCAGTCATCGAGTAAAACTTCATATTTCATTAATGCAACTTTGAGATTAATCAATTCTGCTTCCTTTTTTATGTGCTAAAAGCTATTATTCCCTTTTTTTCAGAAGCTTCTGGAACTGAATAACCTTCATTCTCTTATGTCTGTGGTGTCAGCCCTGCAAAGTGCACCCATCTTCAGACTGACCAAAACCTGGGCCGTAAGTTACTCCTTGACCATTGTCTTTTTGGTCCTGTTTTAGTTCTGAAGTTTGAGTTCTTCTGAATTGTCAGATTGCATTTCTGGAAGATTCTTTATAAGTCCTGGTTTTGCGGTACCAAAATACATTAATATTTCCTATCTGGTCTAGAAGCCACTGTTTATATACTTGAGAGAACTTCCCTTGATCTTAGAAGACCCTCTTACAGAGTGTGTATCAGTATCATTGTGTGTCTATTAATAAAAATTAATACATTGCCAGAAAGGAAGAATAAAGACCTATTAAAATGCAGAAGCATTAATGATGATGAATTTAATCCTGACTTGACTGTGCTTTCATTTACTGTGTGTGATTCAACAAATTTTATAATTTGTTTTCTTTTGTGTGGATTCATCTTAAAATTTTATGCTTTCATTTTTTCTCTGTAGCTTTTGAATCGTAAAGACAAGACCACCTTTGAGAAGTTAGACTATCTACTCTCTAAGGAAGATAATTATAAAAGGACACGAGAGTACATCAGAAGCTTAAAAATGGTTCCTACTATTCCATATTTAGGTGAGTGTGAACGATTACTTTCTTTATCTGGAGCTCCTTCTGACTGCTGAGCACTAATGTAGCGTGTTGTGCACCTGCAGAACACTGTAGAGAGAAGGTATGGTTCACTTAATTTCATACTTTAAACAAATGGATCTGATGAAGGTTTTTAAGCTACACACTATCTAGGGTCTCTGACTTGTAGAAGTTTTGTGCATTACTGACATCTGAAAATATAAGTGCGTCTTTCCTGAAGACATCAAGAGGACAGCATTTACAAGAGCATTGCATTTCAGAAGTGTCTTTGATTACAGCATGGTTTAAGACCGTGTTCCTGTAGCTGTCATTTTTGATGTATGTTTTTTTCAGATTCCTCATAACTTGGCATCTCTAACCTGTAGTTGTTGGTTTGTGTCAGTTTCTTGTAAATACTTTGAAGGGAGATACAAACTGAACAGTTGGATTAATCGATTGACGTATCTTCTCAGTATTCCCTTGTATTATTCATGTAGGCACACTGTGTCATTATTTCCCCATTGGCTCTAACTTGCAGTTCCTGCCCATTGCTGAACTGTGCTAGCATTCATGAGTAACACTGCAAAACCCAGGTTCCTGTTAAAACAGGGCCATTCAGACACTGAAATGTCTTTCTAGTGATGAGATTTTTAAAAGGAAGAGTTAATCTAAGAAGTATTCAACCATGTCTTCTGGAAGCAATATCATAAACTTTAAGATAATTTTATTGCAGTTATTTTCGGTGACCAGAAGAGACACATGTGGTGCTTTTTGTATATTGGTCCACGTATGCAGAGCATGGTCCTGTTGAAGTAATTGTTTTCAACATTCTGTAAATACGACTTCCAGAAAGAATGTATTTAAAAAAAAAAATCAAACTAAGTCTGGAATTCCCATCATATTCAGCACAAGTCACTAATGTTTGACAAACTTATAACCAACAGAATACACCATAAAGAGTTGTCTTAAACATTTTAAAGTATTGGTATAACCCTAAACTCCACTTCTAAACGCAACCTTTTTCCTCATCTAACATCATTCTGCCTTGTGTTTTAGCTACATGAACCCTGCATATATTGTAACTCGGGTTTCATACATCAGAGAGCCTCTCCCTACAGATTGCAAGAGCTAAGCAGTGTTACTGCTCTTTTAAAGTTTTTCACACTTGCATTAAATATTTTGTATCTGAAACTTGTTTCCCGGAGTCCAGTAGATAAACCAGTGACAGATAAAGCTTCAATACTGTTTGAAAATTCAGGGTTGTCATAGCACCTACAGAATGTTCTTCCTCTTTGGGATCTGTGGAAATTTAGTTTTTTTTCTCAACTGAAAAATGCTTTGGTTTTGATGTTGCCATATTTGCACGCTTCTTACATGGTAACAGTAGTTGCATATAAAAGTTGATACACAACTGATTTGAGTCAGAGTGGTTTGGAGTTAAGTAATTATCTGTTCTTTTCCTATGAGTAATTGAACTAAACAAGGATGAAATCTGAACATGTCAAAATAACAGTCCTTGCTTTATTAAAGTATTACAGTATTACAGGGGTCATATATTAAAAACCCTACTTTCAGTTATATACAACACATGCTACATCACACATCAGTTTAATGTACATCATACTGCTGGAAAGAAGTGGTGAGGTAATGAGGGGAAAAAGTGTGCAAACACATGCACACAAATGCACAGTATCTGACAGGCTTACTGGAAAATACATTGAACTTCCAAGGGCTTTTTCTCTCCCTCTCATATGCAGTCTTCTGTTTTTTGTAGTAGTGTATTACAGCAATCTGCTCTAGAAACCTACCTCAGAACAGTACTAAAATCATCCCTGTCCGTATTTCATAGTTGTGACTGACCGCTACATAGATGAGTAAATCTCTAATAATTTGACAGTAATATAGTTGTGAAATATGATAAATATAACTTCTCTTGGCTACAGGTAATGTCTTTATATAATTTTCAGCTACTGGCTAAGGATATTAAATAGCTTATATATTGGTATCCATCATTTGCCTGCAAAGTTGGATAGTCCCTTTAATTTATATCCAGCCATTTCTGATTACAGAGGCTACACAGCAGGTAATGACTGAAGTCAGGTACAAAATCCTGTGACAGTTGTTGTGTAGTATAACACGTTGGCTAAATAGCACCTTCTATCTGTTGTAAATCTGGATTTATTTGCATGTGCAAGTGGCAACTTCATTTTGGTAAGACACATCATTAGTGTTTTTAATCTAAAATATCTGACTCAGATGTGAATTTTAGGAGCAGATTATTAAAATGCTCAAATTGAAGGGAAAGACTGGATTTGTTACAATCTGCTCTCCAAGTAAAATTATATAATACTAACTTTATTCACGGCAGTTAACAAAGATTAAATCAGAATAATCACACTAATGTACATATACCAGCTACACAATTCAAAGGATATGATTTCCTGTGTCAAATGATTTCTCATAATAATAATAAAACTCTTGCTGTACAGTTCTGTATTTGAGAATATTTATACAAAATATAACATACAAAAATATTTAAATGTTGTGGCAGTATTTTTACCATCCAAACTTAATTTACAGGGCATAAACACCAGATAGTTTATCTACAGTCTGTCTAAACTGCCAGTTCTAAAAGGCTGAATGTAACTACATTTAGTACCGAGAGGTGTTCAGAATGTTACATCATTTCAATTCCTTTTTTTTCTTCAGCTGTTATTTTCCTGGAATGATTCTTGAAAATACAATATACAAACCCTCATATCTTAGCAATAAATGTACAATATCTTACATTCCTCACTTCTGAAAAGATAATTTCAGGTAATAACATCATAGCTTTATGCGATTTTTAGAAGAAGAAAGCAAACCAAGAGAAAAATTATTTCAGTGGAACGTGTTAGGGTTAGGTCTTATCATCATAACAACTTTCTTTAGTGAATACGATCCCCCCCGGAATTCAGCCCAGTAAACACCATCCTGATACCGACTGCGGTAGTGTCCTCCACGATACCAGACGCCGTTGAGATTTGAATGAGCACATGCATTGTACCACCATCCTCCCTTCTGGTAGTGAGCACAATTGCCTGTAAAAGAAAGCTGCAGTTCAGTCTTGGGAGTAAATGAAAAACCTTACAGGAAAAAAAATCCCAGGGCAGTGGAAAGGGACCTTGTACCTGTGTATACATCGTGATCCCGATCCAGCGTGGTGAACTGTTTGCCATTGTGCCAAGTAAAGGAATCTCCTGCATTGCCGTTGTAGCGTCCCAATCTCAACTTGTAGTATTCACTTTCTGGCTCCAGTCTGAAGCTGGCGTACTCAGCAAATACTTTTCGACCTGACCAGTCTTCCATTGTTATGAGCAGTTTGTAGTTGCCTTGATTTGTTAACCAATAAATATTTTCTAGTCCGAGCCAGTATTCTCCATCTATATTACCAAATCCTTGCTGTAAAGGAAGCAGGAGAAGCATGTTAATAATATGCATCTGGTTTAACGGTAAATCTGAGTGTATTCTTAACTAGAAAACCACAGTAATTTATTTTATAGGGACTTCCTCTTCTGGAAAGGTAAACACACAAGTTCCTTTTCAAGTAAGCTGTTGGCCAGACTGTAAAATCCCTCTTTAAATTAACTTTACCAATATTTTTTAGAGGGTAGAAAATATTGAACTGCTCACTTGTCCTAACCTTGTATGTCTCCCAGTTCCTGAAAAAGTTGACAGACCCATCCAGCCGTCTCTGAATGACTGTCCAGCCACCAGGGTCATGCCGTTGATCACACCAGACCTGCATAAGCTGGTTTGTGTTTTCTGGCTTTACAAGGTAGATGGAGCTTGTATCGTGGCCATCTTCTAATGCTTGTAGACAGTCTCTCCAGGGCCCTGTGTCAAAACAGAAGGACTCTGCATCAAAATGCTGTTGAGCGTGTTTTTAATCCAGGGCAGTGTTTGAATTGGGAGCTTTTTACAGTATGTTGTCTTCTTCTGAGTAGTGCATTTGCTTTTCCTCTTATTGAAGGTACAGTGTCCACTAAAAGTTTTCAAACAGGTCGATTTGTTGTAACTTTATTTCTAGAGCATTTCACAATGAATTACTTATAAAGGTATATGGTTTTTGGTTTTTTTTTAAAGCAGCTGCACTTATAAGGTTTGATTATATCTTCGAAGAAACTCAATATGAAGGACCCCATATATAAGTGTTAGTAATTCTGTTTAGAAAACAAAATAGCAAGTTTGACTTTCTTTTAGACCGGGAGAAGTTTAGCTTTTGGATCCCCCAAACTGTCATTGACACAGACATTAACAATGGAAGTGGCAACATTGAGAATGTAAGGTTGCTGTTATCACCTTAATAAATGATAAAAACAAATAAAAGAGCATGTCAGTTCAAAGTTATTGTTAAAGAAACTCCTAAAATAGTCAACCACAGATCTTTGATCATGTTCATTAAAACAAATGCATAGCAGCGTATGATGTGGCATTTACAGCTTTCTAATCTTGCAGTTCCTTTCTAGGCCACATGGCAACAGTACTTTACTGCACATGAATCTTTTCTCTGAACATGCTTTAAGGTGAAGATAAACTATTATAAATACTTCTAAGCAGAGTTTGCTGCTACTTTTCCATGACAGGTGTGTTCTTGTCAGATACTAACTTTCCAGAACTTTGACTGAGGTGTGTAGTCTGATATTTGTCATCTGAAATCGGAAGTGAAAGGGGAACTCGCTCATGACAGTGGGCTCCAGCACAGATCTCTGTCAGACACCACAATTAACTCTGCCTCCCGGAAGAGGAAAAAACCCCAAAACATAATTAAGGGATTTTTATTGTTTGTTTATGTGAAGTTCTTTCTGTGTACTTTGTAGCAGCTTAATTTAAACACATTGAGCAGGAAACCTGTTCAGTGCTGTCTGGAAATTCGCATAAACTGTACGTCAGCTAGGACTCCATCGGCATAGGCACAGAGTTAATTGTTTCACATTCAGTTTCCTTTAGAACTCTTGTGGATCTGC